CACCAGACACTAGGGGGGGGCACAGAGGAAGAGGATGAAGCCCCTGGGGCAGGAGAGAGTGGCCAGTCTCAGAGGGTCGGGCAGCCGAGTGCAGGTGGCACTTCCTGCCCTTGTGCTAAGTCCCCTGCAGACCAGGCAGCGCACCCACGCACCAACACACGCAGGGACTGCCAGGAGCGTGTCAGATGGCGTCCTGGGCCAGCTCGGCAGGTCAGAGTGGGCCCCTCAACTGCATTTCTAATGAGCACACAGGGGAGGTTGCTGGGACAAGGACCATGCCCCGAAGAAGCCCACCAGCTGGAGAGATGGGGACAAGCTGCTGGGGATGTGGGCTGTCACCCAGGTCAGCGGAAGCCTTGCCCACTCACCCTCTTCCATAGTCCCCGTGCAGCATGGACATCAGCCCTGACCCTGCCCATTCTCGGTTTCCAGCAGCCACGGCGCTGGGAGCTGGAGCACCTCGTGGGGCCACGTGGAAGATCGTGATAGAGCCAGGTGAGCCTGCTGCTTCTGTGGCTGCCTGCCTGGGAGGAGTGGAGCCTCATGAGGCCAGGCAGGTGAGTGCTGAAGGGGCGAGTTTAATGGAACACGACAGGAACACCACGGGCGGGGAGGGTGGTGACACGACCTGGGTGCAGACGGCACAGGCCCTAGCTCTCCGGACCCTTGGCGGGAAGAAGTCTGAAGCCAGTGTTCCTCGAGGGTCCCCACCCTGGGGGGGTAACACTGATGTGGCCACGTGACAGCGTGTCGTGGCCTGGGCGGGCTGGGAAGGAGCCACCAGCGAGGCAGACAGTCCAGGCGAGCCTCCGGGGAGCCACAGTGACGGCCCACAAGGCACCAGTGACGGCCCACACGTCGGGGCCCTGGAAGCCCTGCTGGGGAGGAAGACGGGAGAACAAGGCCCTGTCCTCAGTGCTGCCTGAGCACCCTGGTACCTGGCGGGACATGGGGACAGTGAAGGTGACACAAACAGACACAAACGAACAAAGACGTAAGCCTGTAACGCTCGAGGGAATGGCAACGTGATGCCTGGCGGCCAGCAGGGCAGGGGGTGGCCCAGCGTCTTGGCACCCGGGAGCCCAGCAGCACAGGAGCCGCGTTTCACCCGAGGGGAGTTTCATGCCGCCCCAAACCTGTCATGGGGACAGAGGTGAGATCCCCCCAGGATGGCCTCTCTGGGGAACAGGGCTTCTGGGCCGAGCATCACACAGGCAGGCAGCCCGCAGATGGAGGGGCTCCTTGGCAGGGGCTGGGAGAGTGGCCAGAGACCAGGGAGCATCCTCTGTGCAGAAGGCCTGGCAGGCGAGTCTCTGGTGCTGCCGGCTGGGCGCTGTCCGTGGCCTCACTGCGTCCGGAGCTGGTAATCTAGAAGGAGGGAGGCATCACGCTTGCTGTGGTCCAGCAGGGAGGCCGGCCTGCAGGCCTCTGGGACCCCACGTGCCCCACTGGCAGGCCACTCACCTCCGTTCTGGGTGATGTAGCGCACCCAGGGCAGGGCCTGGTAGCCACTCTTCTCAATGATCTTCAGGTAGCGCACCTGGGCAGGAGCACAGGCCCTGAGCCTGTGGGCATCAGCACCCTCATCCCCAGGTGCTCCCCCCGTGGGCCCAGGTGGCAGGAAACCATGAGGGAGAGCGGCGGGGCCTGGAGGGGCATGGTGCTTCTAGAGGGCATGGCAAGGGGCTGCCATGTTCTTCCAGGTTGGGGCCCTTCCACGGCCCTGGAGATGGCTTGGCCCAGCAGGCCTCTGGTTTTCTGCAGGCCCCTACTGCCTGCAGGCTTTCGAGGAGGTGCTCGGAAATCAACCCTCATGGGAGGCGACAGCACAGCCTCGACACTGGCCTTGGGGCACATGAGCCTGAGCCCGTGTTAGCGGCCGGCAGGGACCCAACTCCTCAACACCCTGGGGCTGCCGAGCGTTCCCGGGGCTGGCTGGCACCCTCCTCCTTCCCGGCTAGGATGCCGTGTGCCCCTAGAGGCCTGGTCTGCCCATCGCCCTGGGCCCCATGGGCCAGACCTACCTGGATGCCAGAAGTGGTGAAGTAGGGGATCTCGAACCTGACACTGATGGGAGGCTTGCCCTCCTTGTCTTCAGCCTCCACACTAGGCAGGCCAAAATGGGCCCGCATCAGGTACTCCTTGCCACCCTGGAAGCACACGGAGAGCTGGTCAGCCGGCCCGGCCCGGCCAGCGGCCTCCCGAGCCCACCAGGCTGCCAGCCTGTCCCTGATCCCCTCCTGGCAAGGTCAGGGGCTGCCCAGCTCCTGTAACACTCTCCCCACGCCTGACTGAGTAGACAGACTGGCCTGGGGATAGGGAGACACGGGTTGGAGAGTGCGTCATGACAGCAGCGGTGTCACGATGAGGGCCGCCCCAGGACTGGACCAGGGGCCACGTCCCCAGGCCCGAGGTCCCGGCAAACAGCCTGCGTGCCGACCCCAGGACAGTAAGTGAAAGAAAAGACACATCAGAGAGGGGCCCGTGAACAGGGAGAGGAAACACACATAGAGGCTGAGGGCCTGCCAGGCTGGCTTGGGTCCTGCTCCTGGAGGAGGTGTGGCTCTAGCCCCGGGAGTTGGGCAGTGGCCAGAATGGGGGCCAAGAGGCCAGGAAGAATGGGAACCAAGGCCTGGCATAACTGCCACCTCTCCCTGACTCAAGGAGTACCCGGTCTCAAACTAGGAAATGGAGGGAGCAGCTCTGGCCATAGCTTTGATCCCTAGGGCCTCGGGCTGCTCCTCCCCAGAGCTGTGGGCAGAGAGCGGCTCCTGGGTGCCAGAACCCCCAGCACCCAGGCTCTGCCCGTCGCCACCAGGGCCAGCTCTAGAGAGAGGCCTCTGCCTGTAACATGCGCAGAGTAAAGGCTCTGGGAAGTGAGGGGAGAGGAACATGAGGACAGCAACAGCCAAGCAGGCCCACAGGAGGAAACCCGCCTGTCATCAGCATGAGTGACAACAGCAGACCAGAAGCCCAGGTCTCCCTGGAGACCGAGCAAGATGTGGGGCAGCAGCCCCCTGGGCATGGCATGCCCGCACGCCCCTCCTGTGGAGCTGAGGGCTCACATCTCACATCAGCCGGGCAGGGTCCAGGCAGGCTCGGAGATCAGGCCAACTCCAGCTGCAGATGCAGCGAGGAAGGCGGTGCCAGTGGGGACAGGCAGGCCACAAGACAGGGCAGGGCTATGTCATGTGGGGTGGGCTGCAGTACTAGCGCGATCCCACAAGCCACAGGGAAGATGCAACAGTTACAAGTATTCATGCACCAACTAACATGGCAGCAGCTGCTATAAATGAGATGCTACAGACACATGAAGAGAAGCAGAGGCAGCCTGGATGTGAGGCCTGAGAACCAGAGGGGGGCCAGCTCTGTTCGGGCCACGGCCTTCCCCACAGGCACACGTGTGGAATTCCTTGGCCCATATACCACGGAGGCCGTATCAGCTTCTCAAGTACATGCGGGATATTTACAGACACTGACGTTCACTAGTGCACAAAGGACAAGTCGGTAAACTCTACACAGTACCAACAGCTCCTTGACATTTCCTGCCCTCAGGGCACCACATCTACAGGGTAAGGAGAAAGTGTAAAGCAAAAAGGCCCTTCCGCCAGGAAATGAGCAAAACAAACCCTCTCTATTCCATGATCGAAGTTCTAGAAAATAACACGTCGGACATTACATGCCAGAATCTACGGCTGTGTGGCTGAGGCAGAGCTCAGAGAAACACCATGCCTCAGGTACTTGTGCTAGCAAACTTGAACCAAAGATAAGGGGATCACACAGCGCAGAGGAAGAGGCACACGGGACGCACTGGCAGGCCAGGCCCGTGCACAGGGGCCGTTCTAGCTCTCCAACCGGTAACGCGACCACACCACTCTGAGGGAGAGGGAGAGCACTGATGGCATCTTCCAGGCCCCTGAAGGGCTACCCTTCCAGCTTCTTCAGTTCAGGATGTCCCCAGGCCCTCTGGGGTCCAGAAAGATGGAAAACATGGAAACCAGTGACCACCGGAGGTCACCCAGAGCCACACCGTCCCCAGTCCCTACCTAGGCCCTGGCCCATAACACGGCTGGGCAGCCACACCAGCACCGAGAGGCCCGGGTTGTGAGAGGCTGGACTTCCCGGAGCCAGCGCCACTTCCGGAAGCTGCACGGCTTGCTCCTTAAGGCAGCAGGTGCCCTCCAGGAGGTCGACTCTGAGTTTGCCTTGGGGAGGACCCTGGCCAACCAGAACTGGCCTCTCTGTGCCCTCAGTCAAGGGCCCCTGCCATGTGGGCGGGGGGAGTCCAGAACCAGGCCACCACCTCCCCCACAGCACTGGAGACACGAGGGGCCTGTGTGGGTGGCAGGCTGGTCCACCAACAGGGAGAGGCGGCAGCCGAGGAGCCCCACGACCGTCTGGTCCCCAGCTCTCCATCACACTCCCTCCAGCCCGGCCAGAAGGCCCAGGATGGGGGAGACGGCGGGGCCCGGCTTGTCTCAAACCGCCCCCTGAGTGGCACTCACTGGAAAAGACTTGATGGACCACACAATCTCGCTGTTCTCAGGAACCCACTTGACACTGCCCACAGTGGTCTTGAACTTCGGCGAGTCGGCATCGTTGGGCACTGGGATGTGGATCTCCACGTTGTTGGCAGTCGACCGCCGCTTGAACTGGCTTTTGGCCTGCGGGTGAAGCTGCACGTTGAGACGGACCAGTCCCGCCGGGCCTGAGATCCTCGCGCCCCTGCCCACCCTGGTCTCCGCCTTGACTCTCCCAAAGCCTGACTTCAAAGGCTCCGTCTCCGCCTGCTGTCCCCTTGGCCTGTGGGCTCCCACCCCTCCCTCCGGTCCAGGCTCGGCCCGCTGGGTCAACGTCTGTGTTCCCAGGGCCACTGGGGATGGATGGGGCTGCAGAGGGAGGAGCGGGCAGCCACTCTGGGGAGCCCTCCTGGATGCCTGGCGACACGGCGGGGCCCAGGCTGCTTGGCGCCTGAGCCTAGCACAGCAGCTGGAGGGCAGCCACAGGCCGCCCAGACGCCGAGAAGGCCCACCTTGATCATGTACTCGATGCGGCTGTGGGAGTGCTTCTCGATCACGGACTCGATCCATATCAGGGGCTTCACCTGGCAGAGGGCAGAAATGGCGGTCACACCCGCCTGCGTTCCACGGGGGCCACCGCCACCCAGGGCAAGGTACCACATCCCCAGAGGCCAGCGTCAGGCTAGAGCTGAAGCCAAGCCCAGGTCAAGGGCCGCTGTGCAAGTGCAAAGGGGGGCGGGTCTGGGGGCTGCCTGGGGACAGTGGCAGCCATGGGACGGTGTCCCCTCAGCGTGTGGACACCACACCCTCGGTCTCCGTGGAGCTGGGCCAGTGGTGGAGTCTGGGTGTGGGGGGCCGCTGTGCCGGCCCTGGCCTCCTCCCAGGGACTCGAGACACTGAGGGCAGAGGGAGGGCGGCGCTCACGTGGGTGTTGAGGCGGTAGGACATGAGCTCGAACTCGCCGTCGGGGGGGATGAAGGAGATGGTGCGGTCGTTCTCGAAGCGCGACAGCCGCACACACTGGTGGAACTTCACGTCCTCCAGCTCCACGGACTTGCTTTTGCCACCTGTGGGGGGCAGACCTGGCCCTCTGGGTGCCTGGGCAGTGCTGCCACCAGCCGGGCCCAGCCACACACTGGGGGCTCCCAGGTCACGGTGCCAAGGGGGCTGGTTCCAAGACAAGCCCTGCAGTTCCTCACCGCTGGGGCCCTGGTCCTCACCGACTCCCGAGTGGCCGGCCCAGGGCTGCCAAGCACTCAGTGGGTGCGGCCGAGGAGGGAACCCTTAGGTCCCAGTTCCTCTCTCGGTTTCCCACCTGCTGCGGGGCCACATGGACTGGGGGACGCTGCCCTGGTGGGTAAAGGCGTGCCTAGGCCGCTGCACCCCCTCCCGGGGGGGGCTGTGATGGCTGGGGCGCAGGCTGCAGAGCCCTAGGCCGGCCCTGCTCCCGCTCTGCCTGCCCTGAAAGTGCCACCAGCCAGGCCAGGGCTGACCGCCCTGTGGCCTCAGCTCAGGGCCGAGGCGAGGGGAGACGAAGGCCTGCCCTGGCCCTGGCAGCCACGCTCCTGCCGAGACAGCACGGGGCAGGGTGCAAGCTGGCTGTGTGGTGTGGGTGCCAGGGGGCCTGACCTGGAGACGCCTGCTATCCTGGCCGCTGTGCCCAGGGACCACCACAGCTGTCTTGGGCACAGATCCCTCCGGCTGGAGCCCACGCGCCCACGAGGCCCCCCGGCCACGGTTACTCACGGCCTGTGTTGTCGAAGAGGACCTTGTCGTTGAGGCCCAGGCGCAGCTCGGGCATGCCGGACAGGAACACCCGCATCTTGATGGAGCCCACGATCTCGCTGCGCAGCACGTTGCCGTTGGCGCTGACCTGGGGGTGGCGGGGGGGCATGAGGGCAGGCCCCTCCGCACCAGGACTGTCCCGCCCGTGGCCCGACCCTCCTGGCCGCCCCTCCTCACGCTGGCCTCAGCTCCAGGTCCTTCTCCCTCCTCTGCACCCTCTAAGCTGGGTGCCCCGCTGCGGCTCAGGCCTCCCCACGCCTGCCCACACCGGGCTGAGGGTCCCGGTCCCTGCCCCAGCCAGCCTTCACGCTGGGACCCTGTGGACACTGAGGCGGTTCTGTGGGCCCCACCCTCGGGCCACACTGGGCAGTGAAGGGCGCCTGGAACGCCCTGCGAGGGGCTCCTTCTCCTGCCCCCTGCCCTCCCTCCAGGAAGGCCCAGGAAGCCTGCCCTGAGGGGCCATGGGCTTGGTTGGCCCCGGCCAGGACTTCTCAGTCCCTGCTCACCCACCAGCTGGGCTGGACTCTTGCAGACTGGGCCAGACTCATTTCTTGAAGTGTGTCTCTCCTCTTGGCCTTGCAGGGAGGCCGCTGGCCCCTCAAGCCCTCAGGCTTGTGAAAGGAGAGCTGGCTGAGCCCTGACCCCTCCCTGCTTCCCAGGGCTGCCCTCAAGCCCAGAACCCTTGGTCCAAAATAACAGTCGCCCTAGCCCAGTCTCAGGCTGGCACTGACTGAGTGCTTTCTGCGCCCCAGGCCCTGCCACACACAGGTGCTGGGATGCGGCTTGGGGCCACCTGAGGGGCTATACCCACCCTGGAAACCAGAGTGACCCGAAGGCACAACTCAGTCATACCAGCGTGACATCCTGACCTCCCACCAGTCCACATGCGCCAAGAGGTGGCAGCACCTCTCCGTGGGCCTACTTTAGAGATGAGGAGACTGAGGCACAGAGGGGAAGCTACATGGCCAGCGAAGGAAGTGCTGGGGCCACAGCCCTGGCCACCATCCCTCACCGCCATGCTGCACAAGGCCATGTCCACACCAATGAGCGAGCTGAGGGTCACCAAGTTGGACGCCCTGGGACACACCAGTCCCAGTGTGGTGATATGGGTACAGGTTTCCTGCCTGCAGAGAAGTCAGTCCAGGGACTGGAATATCAGTGCCGTGTTCAACAGGAGCATCCAGAAAGCACTGCTGGACGATGGAGGCTGCACCCCGGGCCTGAGGGACACGGAGGGCTGGGGCACTGAGTGTGTGGTAGCTAGATGGGCGTGTGGCTGCCCACGGCCCACAGATCTGGCTCTGCCACCTCGGCCCACCTCCTGTTGTCCCTGGCTCATGCAACTCCGGTCATGCCGGCCTCAGCTGTTCCCGGCCCACAGGTCGCTCCCTGATCCCACTGGCCCGATGGCTGCCTTGTGTCCATCCCTGCTGGTGAGGCTGTGAGGAGCTGCTTAAGGCCGTGTCCAGCACTGGACAGCATCCGTGTGGCAGGCTTGAGGCATGTGGAGCCCATGTGGGGATGTCACCTGCCTAAGTCCCTCCACATGACTGTGATGGTCTGGGTCCCCTGGGTCCCCCTCTCTGGGGTCAGCTGTGACAAATGTGCAAGGCCACATAGCTGGAGAGGGAGGCCTGGGAAGCAGAATGGAAAAGCCCCCTGGCCACGAGGCTACCCTCGGCCTAGGGGAGTGGCCAGGGCAGGCAGCCCTCTCGGTGGGGCGTAACCAGCTCCTAGGGCTGCAGGTGTACTGCCAAGGGTATGGCGGCACCCAGACGATGGGAGCTGGCAGGCGGATGCCAGCGCAGACACCTGCTCTGCAAGCAGACTGAGAAGTGGCTTCTGAGCCTCCGGTGCTGACTGTGGGGTGGGGTTCCTCTGGCAGGGCCTGGGTAGTGCCGTGACTGTCCCAGCTCCCTCGGGGTGTCACGCTCAGTGCTAGAAGCCACTCCCCAGATTCGCTTCTCCACCCAAGGTGCCCATAAGCCAGGCGTCATGTTCTGGGCTGCGCAAACAGTGCAGACCAGGGTCCCCAGCAGGAGGGGAAGTGGCCGGTGAGGGCCTGTCTCCCGCTGCTTGAGAAACAAGCAGCGTGCGGGAAGACTCCCGGGAGGGAGCTCTGCATGCTGCAGCCTTCGACCCAGAGGTCCCGACCCGGCAGGAGTGGCCCCAGCACAGGTCTGAGTCGAGCAGGACACTCACCTCGGCACTGCCCGAGATGGACAGACCCGGCACACCCCGGCAACACACCGTGGCTGGGCCCAAGGGAAAGCAGGCCCAGGCCCGGGGGCAGGTGACGTGCATCCCTTTCCTCTGCCACGCAGCGGCTGGGAAGACGGCAGAAGGCCGGGGTGGCTGCAGGAAGACCCTGGGCCAGGAAGGAACCATCCGCCCTGTAGAGCAGACGGGGCCGGGAAGCCCCTAGCCTGGCTCCTGGGGAAGGGGCTTCATGTCCCCCAGCACCCCGTGCTCTGTTGCGCCCCATGCCCAGGCTGCCCTGTGTTGGCTGCTGTCCTGAGGGTGCAGCAACCCTGGTGGCTCTGTCATTCTTCCACCTGGTCCTCCTCTCCTCCTTCCACGCTGGGTGGGCCCAGCGGCAGACATGCAACACAGAGTGACGTCTACAGCCACGGGTTTTGGCCACAGAAGCAGAACAGCACCCAGAAACCAGAAAGCACGGGCCTCGGCGACGCCCTCAGGAAGGCCAGCCACGGCATCGTCTACATCTCCAGAAGGCTCCAGCAGCAGACATGTGTGGACCTCACCCACGGACCACACTCTGCCTTACAAAGACTCTGAGTTCTAACCACCCCGTCCCAGACTAGCCAAGGGCGGTGCACACTCCAGGCTGATGAGGATGGGGCCTGCACAAAGGCGGTGAACACTGCCCGGTGCTCACGGCCCCCAGGCTAGGGTTGGAATCTGTGGCCGGAATCCAACCAGATCAGGACAGCTAAAACAAAAATGTCGACATGTACCCTATGATTTAAATAAGACCTAGACTCTTCTCACATAATACTAAAAGACTCCAAATTACTCAGCATGTGAAGAACCATGAGAATTTCAACTCACATGTGAAAATACAATCAACAGATATCAAACACCACACAGATGCTGGGGCTGTCTGACAAAGATTTTAAACAGCTATCATGAAAACTGCACCAGAGCTTCTTCTTGGTTGGTAATAAACAAACAAACAAACAAATACAACTGCAAACACACTTGCAACGGATGTTGAAATAGAAAGTCTCAGCAAAGAAACAGACAATATGAAGAATGATCAAATAGAGAAATTTTAGAACTGAAACATAAAATATCCAAAATAACCTTGCTGGACAGACTCAACAGTAGAATGGAGACAGTGCAGGAAAGAGCCAGGGAACTGGTGAGCTTGAAGACAGATCAACAGAAATTAACCAATTTGAACAACAGAGACAAGAAAAGACAGAATCCCTGAGGACACATAGAACAATAACAAGTCTAACATTCACACCACTGGAGTCTAGCAGGAAAAGAAGAAGAGTTAGATTACAAAAACCTGTTTGGGGATGGTGAAAGATATAACCACAGATTCAAGAAGCGGAACACACCCAACAGCAGATACACAGATCTCCATACTTAGCACATTATGATCTAACTGCTGAAAACCAAAGGCAGAGAAAGCTCTGGAAAGCAGCCAGGGATAACACATGGCCCCTGTGGGGATGAGAACTGAGTGACGGTGGGCTTCCCATCTGAAATGTCACGCTGGAAGCAGCACGGCACTCTCAAAAGAAGGCCGCCGACCCAGGTTTCTGCTGTATAGCAAGAGCACCCTTCGGGAAGGGAGGTGAGACATGAAGACATTCTCAGATGAAGGGAAACCAAAGGAGTGTGTAGCCAGCAGACCTGCTCCACAAGAACAGCAGAGAGAACTTTCCAGGTGAAATGGAAATGATACCAGAAATCTAGAAAATCAGGACTGAAGGGAGAGCAACAGAAATGGTAACTATCTGGGTAAATATGGCAGACTATTTCCTCTTGCATTCTTTTTTTTTTTAGTTGGAGTCTCGCTCTGTCGCCCAGACTGCAGTGCAGTGGCCGCTCCCGGCCACCGCAGCCTCGACCTGCTGGGTTCCGGCCTTCCAAGTAGCTGGAACTATAGGCGCGCACTATCACGCCCGGCTAATTTTTTGTTTTATTGTAGAGATGAGGTCTCACCAAGTTGTTCAGGCGGGTCTTGAACCCGCGGACTCAGGCAATCCACTCAACTCAGGCTCCCAAGGTGTGGGATTACAGGCTGAGCCACCAAGCTCGGCTCCTCTTGCATTCTTTACAGTGTGTTTGACAATTGAGGCTGGGTACAGTGGCTCATGCCTGTCACCCCAGCACTTTGAGAGGCCAAAGTGAGAGGATTGCCTGAGCCCATGAGTTTAAGATCAGCCTGGGCAACTTGGCGAGGCCTCGTCTCTACAAGAAATCAAAAAATGGGTAACTCCTTTGGGTCCCCTCCCACTGTGGGAGCTTTTCTGTCCTCTCAATAAATTCTGCTTTGTCAAAAAAAAAAAAGAAAGAAAGAAAAAAAATAGTTGGGCATGGTGGCATGCACCTGTAGTTCCAGCTACTTGGAAGTCTGAGGCAGAAGGATCGCCTGAGCCCCAGCCCCAGCCTGGGTGACAGAGTGAGACTCCAACTCAAAAAAACAAAACAAAACAAAAAATGCCCCCACACAATAGAAAACAAAATTTTAACACTGCCTGGTGGGGTTTTTAATGTTATGTACACATGATATACAGGACAGCACTAGCACAAAGAGGTAAGATATTGATTCCAAGTAGACTGTGAAAAGTTAAGTATGCAGCAACCAACCACACAAAAAAAAACTATACAAAAAGATACAGCCAAAATCACAATAAACAAAAATGGAATACTAAAAATGTTCATATAGCCCACAGAAAGAGAGGAAAAGGAAGGAAAAACAGAGGAGAAAAAAGCAGAGAACAAATAACAAAAACAAATGAACAGTTATGATGAATATAAATGGTCTAAACACATCAATTAGAAGACACAGACTATCAGAATGGAACAAAAATAATCCAATTAAACAGAGGGGACCCCAAAAGATTTTTTTGGAGGGTGGGTTCCTTGTAGTACAGGCTTCCCCCACTAGCTTAGCGTTCTAGGAACTCACTGACATCCATGCACCAGCTAGCGCTGTTGTGAGAGGCTGCATTCGGCTTCAGGGAATGTTTTTAAGAGATTTTTTCAGTGTGTTTGCCAATTTCATGATGCGTGATTGACACAAACAAGCCGCTCACGCTGTGCTGAGCGTTCAGCAGCTTTTGACCAAAGACGGTATGACCCCGTGCCCCATCCACTCTGCTCACCAGATCCTGCCCCAAGCAACTTTGTTTTCTCAGATGAAAAATGTCCTCAAAGGGAAATGTTTTGCTGACGTGGAAAAAAATGAAACAAAAAGGCAGCATAAACACCAAAAGACATCAAAATCAACAAGTTCAAAAACTGTTTTGCATAGTGGAAAAAGAATCTCATAGGTGTACCGCATCAGACGGCGAGAACTTTGAAGGCGACTGAAGTTTGAACATGTAAGAAGAAATACATAATTTGTAATAAATAAATTCCAGGTCTTTTTGGTCCCCCTCAGATGACGTCTTCATTAAACTCACTTCAAGCATGATATAGGTGGGCTGAAAGTAAAAGAGTGGAAAGAAATAAAAGGACAGAGAAACATATACCAGGCAAGGCAAGACGAGATCAGAACACTGGGTGACAATATCAACATCAAAGTATATTTCAGAGCAAAAAAGAAATTTTCAGAATAAAGAGGGATATCACATGATAACAAAAGGGGACACAAGAGGACACAAGAATCCTAGGTGCATTTGTACCAAAGAGCAGAGCTTCAAAGTGTGTGAACCAAAGACATGGGCAACTCGTAATTATAAGTGGAGTGTTTATACTATAAAAAGAAAGGTTTCAAATTGGTATCTTCAGCTTTACTTAAAAACTAGAAAGAGAAGAGCAAATGAATCCAAATCAAAGAGCAGGAAACCACAGAGATGAAAGTAGAAACAATGGAATTGAAACAGAAAAGCTACTGAGAAATCAAAAGCTGATTCTTTGTTTAAAAAAAAAAAATCAATAACATCAACCTTTCAGCCAGGCATGGTGGCTCAGCCTGTAATCCTAGCACTTTGGGAGGCCGAGGCGAGAGGACTACCTGAGCCCGGGGATTCGAGACCAGCCTGGGCAACTTGGTGAGACTTCGCCTCTACAATAAATCACAAAAACTAGCCAGATGTGGTAGTGTGCATCTGTACTTCCAGCTGCTCGGGAGGCTGAGACAGAGAGATCGCTTGAGCCCAGCAGGTTGAGACTGCAGTGGCCATGAGTGTGCCACTGCCCTCCACAGTCTGGGCGACAGAGTGAGACTCTGACTCAAAAAGATAAAAAGTAACCTTTCATAAGACTGACAGAGGAAAAAGAAAGATACAAATAACTAGTATCAAGAACGAAAGAGATGATATCACTATAGACCCTACAGACATTAAAAAGATAATAAAGGGCTGGGTTCAGTGGTTCAGCTTGTAATCCCAGCACTTTGGGAGGTCGAGGCAAGTGGAATGCCTGAGCCTGCAGGTTTGAGACCAGCCTGGGCACCTTGGCAAGACCTTGTCTCTACAATAAATCAAAAAATTAGCTGGGCATGCTAGCACGTGCCTATAGTTCCAGCTACTTGGAAGGCTGAGGGGAAAGGATCGCCAGAGACCAGCAGGTTGATGCTGGGGTGGCCGTGAGTGTGCTACTGCACTCCAGCCTGGGCAACAGAGTTAGACTCCAACTCAAAAAAAAAAAAAAAAAAAAAGATAATAAGGGAATACTATAAAAAACACTATGCATATAAGCTCAACAACTTATACGAAATGGGCCAATTTTTTTTCTTAAACCCACAAACTAACAAAACTCATCCAAGATAAAATAGAAAACCTGAGTAATTCTATCATCATTAAACAAAATGACACTTGTAGTTAATAATATTCTTAAAAAATTTTCCAGGCTCAGATAGTTCCACTGGTGAATTCTAACAAAACCTTAGAGACAAATTAACATCAATTCCATACAATGTCTTCCAGAAAGCGGAAGAGTGGGGAACACTTCCTCATTCATTTAATAAACTCTAGTACCTTTATACCAAACCCGGACAAAAACATTATACAAAAGAAAAAAAAAATTACAGGCCAATATGAATATAAATGAAAACATCCCCAACAAAATATTAGCAAATAAAGTCCACCAATACAAAAAATGAACACAGGTCAAGCATCCCTAATCTGAAAATTCAAAATCTGAAATGCTCCAAAATCAGACACTTTTTGAGCACTGACATAACCCAACAAGTGGAAAATCCCACACCTGAGCTCATGTAATAGGCTGCAGTCAAAATTCAGGTGTATAGTTCAGAGTTTATTCAGCACATCCAAGGGGAAAATAGCATCATCTTCAAGTTATGTGCACACGGTGTACATGAAACATAAATATATTTTGTATTTAGACTCAATTTCCTTCCCCAAGATATCTTATTATGCATACACAAATATTCCAAAATCTGAAATCTAAACATTTCTGGTCCCAAGCTTCACACAAGTGATAATTTATATAAAATACTAATACATCATGGCCAACTGGAGTTTATTCCAGGAATGCAAGGTTGGCTCAATAATTAGACAGCAGTCAGTGGAAATCTACCATACTAACGACCTAAAGAAGAAAACCCATGTGATCATATCAACTGATGCAGGAAATACATTTAACAAAATACAACATTCATGATAAAAAATGTTCAGCAAACTAGCAATGAAAGGGCACTTGCTCAATGTGAGAAAGGACAAACTAGCAATAAAAGGGAACATCCTCAATGTGAAAAAGGACACCTACAATAACCCACAGGACAACCTACTTGATGGTGAGAAACTGAATACCTTCTCTCTAAGATCAGGAACAAGGCAAGAATGACCACTCTCACTTGCATTCAACACTGTACTGGAAGTGTTAGTAAGGTAAGAAGCTAAGAAAGAGAGATAAAAGAATAAAGATCAGAAAGGAAGAAACTGTCTCTATTCACAGCCAACTCATCTCTGTAGAAGTCCCAAGAAATCTAAACAACACTTCTTGAATAAGTGAGTTTATCAAGGTTGCAGGACACCACACCAGTACACAAATATCAGTTGTATTTTTATACCTTAGTGATGCCCAATTGGAAATTGAAGTTTAAAAGTATACAATTTACAACAGCTTCAAAAAATGATATGCTTAGGTATAAATCTAACAATACATGTACAAGGTAAAAACTACAAAACACTGATGAAAGAATCAAAGATGACATATGTATATCATTATGCTCATCAACTGGGAACCTTGATAGAGTAAAAATCTCAATTCTTCCCAAATTGATCTATAGAGTTAACAGAATACCAATTAAAATCCCAGTAGAATTTCTGTAGATATAGACAAGCTGATCCTAAAATTCTACACAAAGGAACTAAAATAGCTAAAATCATTTCAAGAAAGAATGCTGGAAGAATCCCACTATCTGATTTTCAGTTTTACAATAAAACTATAGAAATCAAGACACGGTAGTACTGGAGAAAGAAAAGATACATGTGTACAGATTAATGGAACAGAATAACATCCAAAAATAGATCCACCAAATATGGCCAATTAGTTTCAACAAAAGTGCAAAGCAATTCAAGGAAGAAGGAAAAAAAAAGAATATAAACTTCACATTGTATATGAAATTTAACTCAAAACCGATTGCAGATCTAAATTAAGACTATAAAACTTTTGGAAAAAATGTAGGTCTCTATCACCTTGGGTTTGGCAATGACTTAGGTTTCACAGCACCAAAAGCACAACCAAGAAGAAAAAATCTGATCACTGGATTTCATAAAAATGAAAGCCTTTTCACACTCTTTGAAAGACATTGCTAGGATAATAGAAAGAGAACTAAAGATTGTGAGAAAATATTTGCAAATCACACATCTGACAAAGGACTTATTTCTGGAACATACAAAGAACTGTCAAAGCCCAGCTTTAAGAAAACAAACAACCCAATTTAAAAATGCTCAAAAGACACAGATACTTCTCCAAAGAGGATACTCAGATGACAAAAAGCACAGCAAAGATGTCCAGCATCGTTAGCCACTCGGGAAATGCAAACTAAGACTACGCTGAGATGCTGCCCCACACCCATGGGAAGGGCAGCAGTGAACACCACCCAAGGCTGCAGAGATGCCGGACCTCTCATCCACTGCTGGGGAAAGTGCAAAACGTCATGATCAGCAGGTTCTTATAAAGTTAAACAGACACTTACCGTGTGACCCAGCCATCCCACTCCTGGGAATTTACCCTAGAGAAATGAAAACTTATGTCCACACACAAACCTGGACACAAAACGTGTACAGCAACTCTATTCATAACTGTCCCACACTGGAAAACAACCCAAATGTCCTTCAGTGAGTGAATGGTAAACAAACTGTGGTTCAGAACATAAGGAAAACCTAAATAAACACAAAAGGAACCGAGCTTTCCATACACATGGCAACGGGGATGACTCTCAAAGGCCTCATGCTGAGTGAAAGAAGCCAAGAGGTCAAGCAGGCACGATGCCATTCACACGACAGCCTCGAAACGACAATTATAGTGTCAGACACCATTCATGCGACAACCGTGAAAAGCTGACCACAGTGTCATACAACGCCATTCACAGGACAACTGCAAAAGACAAAACGGCAGTGATGGGGAACAGACTGGTGGTTGCCAGGGCTGGGAACCATGAAAGGGCAGCACAAGGGAGGTGAGGAGCTTCTGCATCCTGGTCATGGTGATGGGGACACAAATCTGAACAAGTGCTTAAATTCATTCTAAAAAGTCGACCTTACTCATAGTTTAAAGAATAAAATTAGGCTGGGTGCAGTGGCTCACACCTGTTTTCTCAGCACTTTGGAAGGTGGAGGTGGGAGGACTGCCAGAGCCCAGGGATTTGAGACCAGCCTGGGCAACTTGGCAAGACCTCATGTCTACAGAAAAGTTAAAAAAAAAAAAACAAACAACTGAATGTGGTGGCATGCACCTGTAGTTCCAGCCTGGGAAGGCTGAGGTGGAAGGATCACCTGAGCCCAGCAGGTCGAGGCTGCGGTGGCCATGAGCGTGCCACTGCACTCCAGCCTGGGGGACAGAGTGAGACTCCAACTCAAAAAAAAGGAAAGAAAATGAATTAAAGAATAAACCAAACATAAAATAAACAGTAAAACGATGCTCAAAAACAAAAAACAAAAACAAGTTGCAGGAGAACCACACCTTGTGAGCACTCCTTTGTGAATCTACAGAATTGAGGCCCAGGAGGCTTGCAATGAATAGCTCTGAGGGGGGCGGTCTTCACTTTCTAACTTTCGTATACTGCTTTTTTTTAAGTGCATGTATTGATTTCCAATCAGAAAAAAGCTAATAAAGGTAAAACAAGCTCACATTTCAGTGAGCGGCCTACAGGCCAGCCATCCCATGGAACCCAGGGCTTTGCAGTTTTAAAAGTTGAAGTGTGCTTACATCTATGGTGGAGAAGATAAAATTCTACGAACAGGAGGAAACAAAGAAGGCCTACCAAGAGGTTGACGGACTCGATGACATCCAAGAACACTTCGTTCTTCCGGTACTTGATGCCCTCGGACCGCCAGGACACGGCATTGGTGACGGTGGCCGGGGGCCGTGGAGCCCCTGTTTCCAGCTTGTGGCCCTCCTGGGTGATGTACCTGTGGGGCCACGCTCACGGTTATGGAGGCGGCACCTGCCCCGGGGCCACAGCTGCCGGCCCCAATGTCCCGGCGGGGTGGGGTCCTGATCTGAAAGCGGCCCCTGGATCCGGCGCTGAGACGGTTGCCTCTGCCCTCACCGGGGCTGCTCAGCGCAAGGTGTCACAGCAGCTCCCAGAGCCACAGACTCTGGTTACAGCAGGTCCAAAGTGCTCGCTGGGGCAAGGAGACAGTGCCGGGGAGGAGCATGGGAAGGGGGTGTCAGCAGCCACATGTCCAGGCTGGGCAGGCACCACAGGTGGCCAGTGGCCAGGTCCCACAGTGGTGAGGGACACAGGTACGGCTCCAGCAAACGTGGAGTGCGTGAACCGGGTGGAGGTCAGGTGCTCCCCACGGGCCAGCCCCAGGAAGGGCTTCGCCCACTCCCAGGATGCGCTGGCCATCATCTGAAGGGCAGGAGCCTCAAGGGGGAGGATCTTGATCGCAGGCTCTTTCGTGACACAGGCAACTCCCCAGCAGATCTGGCGTATCCACATGGAGGAGGAAGACCCCACAACTGGAGGACGCCTGTGTCATGCGGGGTCTGAGTGGGAAGGATCAGAGCCACGAGAGAAACCCTAACCCTGCACACAGCCAGACAGGAGGGCCACGGAGGGCACACACACATACTGGGGCCCACTCACTCCTGCAGGATCTTGCTGTCTGTGGTCTGGGGGTAGCCAAAGTCCATGAGCTCATCCAGCAGCTCGTAGATGATGACGAAGTTGTCCCGGATGCTCTCTTCCTCCAGCTCCTTGAAATACTCTGAGAACACCTGAGGGTGGGACATGGTCGGGTGGGGGGGGTGAGGCCCGAGGCGGCAGCACTGTCTCCGGGATGGGACTGACGGGGTGGGTCCTGAGGCCCGCTCAGAAGCCCCACCAACCCTGTCGCCTTCCTCCCCGCCGGGGCCCCTCCTGAGTGTCCCTTCATTCCGGCTGTATGGTCACCCCTTGCCTCTGGTCGGGGACGACTCGGTGAGGGCCGGGCAGCCTTCGGCCCTGCTGGGCGGCCAGGCTGGAGAGCAGCAGGCGCAGACACACTTCCCTGTCTCACGCAAAGTTCTGGGGCTTGAAAAGGGACCCCCAAGACAAAGGGGCTCCGCAGAGCACACAGTGGAGGGAGACGCCCTGCGCTCCACGAGGAGCTGCCCCACCCACGCCGACTTGCCATCCCAGCCCGCCAGCCCAGGAGAGCCCTCAGGCGCTCAGACACGCATCTCAGACACGCGCCCTCAGACACGCGCGGGGCCTGCCCAGACGCTCGCCGCCAGGCCTGCCCCTGCTCGCCAGCGCTGTTCAGGTTGCTCCAGCGGCACGGAAGCTCTCCTGGTTCCCAAGCCCCTTCCTCACCCCAGCCAGCCTTGGCCCAGTCTCACAGTTCTCTCCCAGAAGTCTGCAGCCCCTTGCTGGCCCCCTTGCCACCCTCAAGCACCTTCTCCACTCAGCACCGGCGGGGCTGCTTTAGACTGAGCCATGTCTTGTCAGTCTTACAGCCTCGGCTGCCTCTCGCCGGATGTGGTCCCTGGTCCTGTTCCGAGAGGCAGCCCCTCCTGCCTTGCTGATCTCAGTCCCACTCTGCCCCAGGCACACTGGGCTCTCTGACTGCACTATGCACACTCCTGCCCCAGGGCCTTTGCCCGTGCTTTGTCTCATCTCTGTGTTATCCTGGGCCTGGTGTGTCAGCTTTCTCCAAGGTGGGCCCTGGTGTCTATGCCCTCAGTGCCCCAAGGGATTGTGAGCCAAGTCTAGTTCTGCCCCTGCTGGTTACCCTACCTCCCTGCCCCATTAGCTGGTCCCCAGAGACCCTTCCACAGCAGCTGGGCCGGCCTGTCCTCCCGGGATCCGGGCATACTCCGCTCTTCGCCCCCTTCTCCTGCTCACACCCCTCTCCTCATCAGGGTGGGGAGCAACAAGGCTCACAGCAGGGTCCGGGGCTCCCTGCTCCCACCCCTAGGGGCCCAGTACAGAGCTGCCTGGGGATGCTGCAACTCTCACCTGGATGGCATGAAATGAGCCCAGACAACCACCAGCCCCGCCCCTGCCCTGTGGCCCTCAAGCAAGACCCACCTGCACCACCTTGTAGAGGAAGGAAAACACCAGCGACACACACGCATTCTTCTTGGATGTGGCAACCACTGCACGGTGGCCACAGTTAAGGAGCCTGAGAGGCCAGGGTCGCCACCCTGCAGATCCTGACCATGGAGGGGCCCTCAACCCACGGGGGCTCAGTGCCTCCCTAGACCACTCCCATGGTCTGCTAGGCCCACGTGTCAGGAGCTCCTGGTGGAGCCAGGCCTAGATGCAGCCGTCGTGTACCCCAGGGACCGCTCCTTGGTAGAGTCAAGGGGTGCAGGTGACTGCTGAGTGGGGACCTGCGTGGGAGAAGGGGCCTTGGCCCAGGAGCGGCTGCAGGACACGGGCCCTGTTTCCCCAGAGCCTGCTTCTCCCCTGCCGAGTCCAGGTCCCAGGCAGGAAGTACCGGGCCCTTTTTTGCTTTGGGAACAGAAGAGCCTGGCCCTGAAGCAGCCTCTGGAGAAGACTGTGTGCTGTTGCACACAGTTCTCGAGAAAAATCCAACACAGGAGATGTGTGCAGCGGTCCCAGCTTGGGCTCTCCCTCCCGTCAGGGCCAGGCCCTGCCTGAGGCTCACGTGTGCTGGGTGCCCCCTGCGTCCCTTGCCCTTGGGGACCTCCAGCCACCAGGAAGGCCGGCCCCTCTGCAGGCCTGTGCACGTGCCCTGACGCCCTTCTCATCACGTCTGCACCACCTGGTTCATGGGCCTGTCCGTGAGCTCCAGGAGGGAGGGCCTCATCCTTGCACAGCACACAGCCCAGGAAGGGACAGAAGCCCAGCCGAAGCAGCGTTGGCCTCCCTCCGCCACCTCGGTAACGTGCCTGCCCCTGGGGCTTTGCAGGAGAGCACCGGATACCTCAGCCCTTCCCAGGTAGGGCTGGCTGGACACTGTCACCCAGCAAGAGAGCCGGGGACCCAGCCGGGGACTGAGGAGTGAACACAGCGCAGAGAGCAGGCAGGGCCACGTGAGGAGGACTGAGGAGGTCCAAGCACAGGCCTGCAGAGGGGCTGGCGGCCCCCAAGGGCAAGAGACACAGGGGCACCCAGCACTCAGGGGTGGCGGCCACATGCGGAGGGTGGGGCCCAGCGGACTCGCGTCCCACAGCTCCCATGGCGCTCAGATCCCAGGCCATGGCCTGGACCCAGGGCAGCTTCCAAGGCAGCCAAACCCTGGGTCACAGGCCACCTTCCAGAAGGAGGGAAGCCTGTAGAAAGGCGTGCCGCAGGGAGCCAGGCAAGGGCCCTGGGGCCAGCACAGCCCACATGGGCAAGCACATGCAGTCACCAGGATGATCTTGCTACAGTGTGGAGCCTGACGGGCAGGGCTGAGTGGGCTGGGGAACCCGCACTTCCAAAGGCTCACAGAGGACGCTCTGGCCAGGGCCGCACCACAGTGGCAAGTCGCAAGTATCTCTGAGGACAGAGGAAGGGACACAGAGCCTGGGCCTGCTGGGTGCAGTGTGCACGAACCGCCAACTGGCCATGCGGTCTTCAGCAAGGCCATGGTCTTGCGAGACCGAGGGGCCGTCTGCCACAAGCCAGGCCCTTCCCACAGGAGCGTGGGCGCCAGTACGTGCCTGGAGCGGGCGGCCAGTCGGACCTCGTGGATGGAAACTGGTGTGGGCAGGTCTCCACACGGCCCAAGGACAGGAGGGCAGGGCTCCGCGGCCCAGGCGGGGCATGAGGAGTCTCCCCTTCTCCAGCTGCCAGCCTCTGTGGTTCAGGCCACCGTTCCTCTACCTGGACGTGGGCCCTGCCTGCTCTCTGCCCTGTGTTCACTCCCGCCCCTGCAGTCTGTTCCCCACTTGGCAGTCAGAGGTCTCCAGAAAACGCAAAACTGCCTGAAGGCCTCTGAAGACGTTGCAGCACACGAGATGAGGGCCCTCAAGGCTGTGACCCTGCTGTGACACTGCTGACCCCTCGAGGGCCCTCAAGGCTGTGACCCTGCACACCCTCTGGGTTCCAGCTGCCCTTGCAGCTTCAGGAAGGAGTTTCTGCCCAGGCCCAGTACCCGCCTGCCCCGTGGCCAGCAAAGCCGGCCTTCCCGGGCTCCCCTGGGATGTCCCCTCCCTTCCAGGGGCCTAGGTCAACCGGGATGCCTGTCATGCCTGCTCCTCACACCCGACCCGTAGGCCGCCGTGCGCTCCCCACCATCTCCTCAGGCGGCTCGGAGCTCCAGGAGGGCAGGCTGCACCTGACACCCCGCTGAGCCCAAGCCAGCCCGCACGGGCACGCCCACGTGGGACCCCAGGGAGCAAGCCGGGCAGAAGGATACAGTACAGGTTGTTGTGCTTGATCCACATGAAGCGGACGCCTCCGTGGGCCAGGATGGGCGACAGCATGCCCTCCTCCTCCTTCTCCATCAGGATGGGCATGAAGTGCTCCACCTCCGACATGTCCACATCGCCGCGGTAGTTCCTACAGATGAGCACCTGCGGAGGAAGGAAGCAGAGGTGCTTCGTTTCGAGTTCCACAACCGGGATACCTGGGTGAGATGCGCCCGCCTGCCTCCCTCCGGGGGACCCCGATCACTGCTCTGGCCACGAAAGGGCAGGACCCCAGGCCATTCTGGGCGCCATCACCCAGGGCGTTCCTCAGGAGCGTGACCCCAAGCGAGTGTCCACAGGCAGGGCAGTTCTCACAGGGTGGCTGGGAGGGCTCAGGGGCAAGGGCCCAGGGCTGACCCGCTCAGAGGTGCTGGGGTGCGCGACGCCCCTCAGGTTCTCGACGCAGGCCTTCCCAGCGCCTTTCCGCGCTCGCCTGTCCTGATCTTTGCCTGCTTTGGGGCGCCCACCTCCTTCCAGGGCTCGTTTTAGTAGGCTCCAGCTGTGGCCTGAAGAGAGGCCTCCTGGTCTCTTTCAGAGCTCAGAGTCAGGATGCACAGCATCGGAACCCCCACCCGCTGCTGACGGGAGCAGAAAACGGGACACCTGCTGGAGAAGTCTGGCAGGTGCTCAATCAGTTAAACCCAGAGTGAGCACATAACCCAGCCGCTCCCCTCCCAGTTATGCACCCAAGAGAAACGACGGCACACATCCCCACCGAGACTCCTACGTGGGCATTCACAGCAGATTTAGTTTAAGCAGCCTGGACTACAGGTGACACGAAGTCCTCCCACAGGTGGACAGAGCAAGGGGAGTGCATGCACACCACAAGGGATGCTCATACGGGGACGCGCTGCAGTCACAGCATGGAGTGACACAGACAGAGGAGGGCCCATCATGTGTCACTGCACTTACAGGGGACCATGGATCATGTGTGAACAGCACACCTGGCTGCCTAGGGACCAGCAGGAAAGCCTGGGGCTGTGAGGGAGCTCTGGGAGACGGAGCGTGTGGCTATGCCTCCTGGGGTCACACGGCCGATCTCTCCAGGCACACACCCAGTATGAGTGCGGCTCGCTCCATATAACATCGTCCCCAAAGGTACGAAGTGGGCAGGGCCCTGCCTGCACAGCCACCACCGGCTTCCAGGCAGCGCCAGCCTCAGATCCCCTCCTTTCACGCACACTTGCCTTTACTCTTTGGGACAGGAGGTGTGTGTGTGTGTGCCTGGATACACGTGTCTGTGCGTGGATGCACACATACATGTGACCCTTCCTTTCCTGGTCTGCCCTTCGTGGCCTGGCAGGCAGCGTGCTGAAGCGACAGCCCTACCCCTGCTGTCGCTCTGACCCCAGGTCCTTCCTCACAGGTTGGGCTGGATCTTCTTCCACAGAAGCCTGGGGTCTTCCCTGCAGAAGCTGCACCTCCAGCCTCTCCAACTGAGAACACAGCCAAGCCCGTTCACAGTGCACAGGACCCACACGGCCCAGCTCCTCACGGCTCCAGCGTCTCAGTCAGCCTGGTCTCAGCCTCTGCGCCCAAACCAGTCCTGCCTTGGGACCTCTGCTCGTGCAGCTCCTGGCCCAGATGCCCGCCCAGCTCTTCTGATTCTCCGGCCTTGGCAAGACAGCACCTCCTCCCATTTGTGCGGAGCTGTGGGTGAGGGGAAAGGGCTGGACACACCACGCCTCCCAGGCAGATGCTGAGCAGGAATGCACAGAGGTCACCGGGGAACGCTGGGCTCGTGGGGCCTCTGGACAACACATTTGGGGGTTGCTGCCCACCGCCCCCATGAAAGTCCACAGAAAGAGGGCATCGAGGGAAGCCCGCCTGGGCCTAGGCCCACACAGCTCATGGCCACAGGGAGGGCAGAGGAAGAGCCAGCAGATGAGGAGAGACAGAGACACTGGGCCCTGGAAGCTAGGGCAGTGTTGGACAGGAGGTGGCTGGACAGGTGGTGGGGAACCAGAGGCAGACACACCTGGTCATGGGCTCTCAATACCATCACCTCCCTCCTGACCAGCTGCTTGGGAGGCGTTCTGGAAACACAGGGCTGTGGGTGGGAACGAGGGGTTCACGGCTGAGGAGGAAGGAGGGCGCCTATGGTCTCACAGGCAGGTCTGGTCCCAGCTCCCACAGCGGCCACCTCCATTCTGAGCTCACGCGGCCCCTTACCTCTCCTGCCAGACACCTTCCTCCAGGTCCAGCACTACCCAGGGCTTTCAGTCTGCTAGCCCTCGCACCCACAGGGACGCCGCCTGTCACATGGTCACTCCTGCAGGGACCCTTTTGTGGCCACCCCCCCCACCGCCCACTGGCCGGCCAAAGGCAAGGTCAAGCAACTGAACTGTCCTGCCTGCCCTTGCGGTGCCAGACCCAGCTTCTGGTACCACCGCTGCCTCCAGCGATCTCAGCTAAAGAGAGCAGCCTGTGTGGATAAGGACTGTGGACTGTTGGGAGCATGGGGGCCCGATGGCCCCGCAAAGCCTCTGCTGGTCAGTGAGGGAAGGGGGCCTGGAGGGAAGAAGGTGTGTGCCCAAGGCTGTGTGCTGAGCAGCAGAGCTGGGTCTTGAGCTTGGTCAGCACCAAGGGACGCCCTCAGACGGGGAAGGGAGGGGTGTGTACATTCCTGTGAAATGTTTGTTGAAGAATGGACAAGCCAGTACAGGCACCACTGGCACCTTGGGGAGGTGGAAGCCAGAGTCCTGCTATGCGGGTCACACGCCCACCAGGCCCCAGTGAGCCTCTGAGAGGCTGGGCAAGAGAGCCCGGCACAGGCTCAGCCTGCTGACACTGGACAGAACCTGGCAGGCTCCTCTCAGGGACTGGGACTGGGCGGGAGGGCGGCTGCCCCTCACTTTTCATGTCCCTGGTCGATTGTTCCACCCCATCTGGACCAATACCCATGTCTGCTCCTCTGCTGGCCACTGCTGGGCTCTTTTGCATTACTGGGTGGTTCCTGTTGCCTCCACACGCAAGAGGCCACAGTCAGCAACCTCCAACCAGGGTGGGCGTGGATGGTCCCCCTTGACGTTCTCAGACACCCTAGGAAGGACGTCTGGGTGTGCCTCCAGTAGACGTGCGGCCCCCCTGAGGTTCCCCCTCTCACCACCAGCAGAGGTGGACTGCCCCTGCTCCACCTGCCTGAGCTCCAGGATGGCTGAGCAAGTTGCCCTGCTGCAGCATCCTGTCTGGCCCTGAGAAGGGGTTCTGCACACACCAGCCGAACCGACCACACAGGACGGCCGTCCTAGACCTGCCGCTTCTGTGAGCAGCAGGATCTTGGGCAAGCTGCTTCCCTTCTCCATGCCTCAGGGTCTCCCTGTGTCGAACGGGCTCTAGCCACTCCCTCGCATGACCCTTGAAACTCAATGTCCCAATGGACCTTGAGCAATTGCTACGGGGAGAAAGTGCAGAGTAAACAGGAGCTGCTGCACCAGGACGGCGGGACTGGCCCAAGGGCGCCCTATGCCAGCCAAGCCGGAACCCCTGGCCCAGGGTTGCAGCCGCGGGCGCCCAGCCCGACTCCCAGGCCGCCTGCTGAGAGAGAGAAAGGGGCGGGGCTGTCGCCCACCGCATCACCTAGGGCAGGGCGGGGCGTGTAGACAGAGACCCCCGCCGGGCTATCCAGCGACAGGGCGGGGCGAGCAGACGGAGACTCCAGCCCGGCACCCCAGCGACGGGGGGAGGCGAGCAGAGGGAGACCCCCGCCCGGCGACTCGGACAGGGCGAAGCGAGCAGAGGGAGACTCCGGCCCTGCGACCCAGCGACTGGGCGGGGCGAGCAGAGGGAGACCCCCACCCGGCGACTCAGAGACAGGGCGGGGCGAGCAGACGGAGACCCCCACCCGGCGACCCAGCGACGGGGCGGGGCTCTCAGGTGAGGCCTAACACCAGGGTGGGGCACCGGGCCGGTTACCTAGCAACAGGGTGGATCCCTTGGGGAAAGGCCCCGCCAGCTGCCTGGCAACGGAGAGGGTGGTAGCCCGCAGTACCTTGCCCTTCAGGTCCAGCACGTAGACGGCGCTGGCGGACATGGCGGCTGCGGGAGGCTTCGGCGGCTGCCGAGGGCGGCGACGGCGACGGCGGGGGCGAAGACCGCGGGGACAGCCGGGCGTGGACCAAGGCCGGCACGCCCCGCGACGGCTCGCCTCCACTTCCGGCTCGAGGAGTCGCGCGCGGACCGTTATGTCCGGTGAAGGCGGCGCAGCTTGCCACGCGCAGGCGCGGGTCGGCACTTGCGCAGGCGCACTACGTCTTACGCGCTCGCCTCGCCTCGAGCATCCCGGAAGTCAGGCCCCGGGGGGCGGAGCCGGCTGGACCAGGGCGCCCTCTGGCTGCCGGGCGGGGCGAAGGGCCCGGGCGGCTGGTAACCCCCTCAGGTGGGGCCAGCTGGGCGCGAGGGCCTGGCAGGGCCCAGCCCAGCCGGCCGACCCCGCAGACGGCTGCCCGTGGAGACGCGCCGGGCGGGGAGGGGCGCGGTGGCGGCCACCGGACGAATGTCAGGAGCTCCTCTGCGCGGCGGCCATCACCTACCTGGTCGAGCGGGCTTGCATGGCCGGGATGCGCTCGCGAAAGCCGCGCCACCCAGCAGACCTTTTACCTGCAGTTGGTGGCCTCGTGGGTGGCGCAGACGGCTAATGCAGCAGCGGAACCGCGTCTGGTTGGCATTTGACACTCGGGTTGTGCAGAAAGGCTGCCTTCTGTCCCAACGGCCCCAGGCCTGCGGTGTCAAGGCCGTCCCAGGCTGCCTGCGGCTCCAGTAGCAGTTGTCTCCCCTAGGGCCTGGAGCCGTGGCTTTTGCCACTCTGTGGTGGCGTGTCCTTAACTCGGGATGGAGACGTAAGTAGGAGAAAACCAAGGAGAAAACTGGACTATCTGAAGACGACCGAGTGACTCCCGGACTGGAACATCCTTGCACAAAGCAGAGAAGCAGCCAAGAGGAGCTTTTGGGTGCTCGTCGCTGGGCGAATAAGCTCTAGAAGGGGTCTGAGGAGCCGTCGGGGCTGTGATTGCTGCTAGGGGATAGCGCCGGGGACTGTCAGCAAGAGCTAGGGACAGATGTGGTGTAGGAAACCCTGTTGTTCCCAGCCCTGTGTTTTGCCTAACTTACTGTGTTGTGGTTCTGTTTAGAGAACGGGGTCTTGCTCTGCCCCCAGGCTGGAGTGCACTCATAGCTCTCTGCAGCCTCCAACTCCTGGGCTCAAGGGATCCTCCCACCTCAGCTCACCCAGTAGGTGGGACTACAGGTGCCACCACGCCGCACTAATTTTTGTATTTTTTGTAGATGGAGTCTCACTGTGTCGCCCAGCCTGGCCTCCGACTCCTGCCAATGTATTGTTTTACAAACACATTTTCTGAAAGCACAAAACTACACGTTTGCTGAAGAAAAACAGAGGAAATGTCAAAAAGCATAAGACAAAAAGTGGAACCACCTGAGAAAGGCCACCCTCTCATTTTGGAATGTTTCCTTTCTGGGCCTGCTCTTGGCATTTGGTGGAGATGTTTAAAATCAGTATTGAGGGAGCGGGAGGAGACCGGGTAAGTCCTTGGAGGAAACAGTCTCAAGTCACAGTCACAGCAAGCACACACATGCACAGACAGTCCTCGTGATTTCCCTCTTCTCCATAGGTAGGGGTAATTTGGATCACAGCTGAATTTCAACCTTGGCACTTATACTTCATAAATGTGACCGCTGCAGTACCTCAGAAAAGGCCACACCTACGGGGGTAGACCAGAGTTCCTGAACTTAGCTTCATATTAGTGTCATCTGGGGAGCTCTGCAAAACCCCAGTAGCCAAGTCCCACCCTAGACCAGTTAGAGTCGCTGGACCTGGGCCTCAGGCTTCAGGGGCTTACTGTGCATGTCTTGAGATGGGGTCTTGCTCTGCTGCCTAGGCTGATCTCTACCTCCTGGGCCCAAACAGTCCTCCCGCCCTGGCCTTCTGAGCAGCTTCACACCACATTCATCTGAGCCGCTGTGCCTGTCTTCTGTCCGCTGTGGTTCTTCACGTTCCTGGGAGATTCTAGCGTACAGCAGAGTTTGAGAACAACTGTGTAGCCTGCAACAGTGACGGCCCCCAGTACACCGCTTTCTGGCGTTCGGGCCTTCGTGCGGTTCCCTCCCAGGCTCTGGGCTGGGATTGCGGGACCTGCTTTGGCCAAGGAAACAGCCCATGTGGAGAGACACTGAAGGGCGAGATGCCATCTTGGCTTGGGCCAGTGCAGCTGAGTGAATGAAACGCGACACGGAGCGGAGCTGTCCAGCCGCACATGGCCAGCCCTCTGAACTGTGAGAGAGAATACATCTGTTCTAAGCCATGACATTTTGGAGGGGCTTGTCACGCAGGGATAGAGAAATAACTATCTTTCCACTGCCCTGACAAGAGCTTTTCACACAATGCACAGCCTGTAGGCGTGTATTGCAGCTAGGACTATAGGCGCCAGACCTAGTCTTTTGATTTGGGGCAGAGACGAGGTCGAGATCTCACTATGTTGCCCAGGCTGGTCTCAAACTCCTGCCAGGGTGACCCTAGCTGCCAGCTCATGGACGAAAGAGGCCTGAAGGCCTGAACATATCTCCCTCCACTGTAGAGGGAGCCACGCTAACAAGAGTCCATCATCTCCCCAGGTCCAAGCCCCAAGGGAAACATGAGCCATCTCGGTTTCTCCAGGCTGAGGGGCCACGTGTGGTGTGCATATTCTCTTGTGTGATAAATACAAGAGGCATTTCAGTGACAAAGAGCCGACACTGAGACTCAGATTTAACAACTGGTTTTCCTTTATTCTGTAGTTTACACAGGACAACCCCAAACCCCACACCTGGTCCTTCCCTTGTGCCTGTCACTTTTCCGGTGTCTATGTCCACAAAGATGATCTCTCCCAACAGCATTTGCAGCTTGACCCTTATCTGGGACACATGGGCCCTTGAGAGCCTGGCCCCAGCACTGGTAACCTGGACTTCCCAGGTGAAGCACCCCTGCAGGTATGTGCTGGGCTCCTGCCGCTTGTGAGGTGTGACATGTCAATTCAATGAATACAAGGCTGTCTGGAGCCCAGGCGGAGGGCTGAGGGGCAGGTGTGTCCAGATCCCAGCACAAGAACGCTGTGGTGGACCAGCAATGCCTGCCATGGCAATGCCATCATGAGTGTCTGCAAGGGGACCTGGGGAACAGGCTCAGAAAGGGACAGAGCGTGCATCCCATCGCTGCCCTGGTGGTGGTGCTCACACAGGCTGCATTGTCCCTGGACCTGGGCAACATGAGCCCCGAGCGGGAGGGGCAGCCCCGTGGAGCCTGTAGGGTCTGCACATCACAGGCTGTGCTGGCATTAGCTCCTGACCCTCTGGGGCCCATCCCATTCAACGAAGACAACTGGCCAGGCTCAGAGGGCGAGACACAACTCCCTGCACCGCGTTCGCATGGCCTGCACACAGAAACAGCCTTGGCCTCTGGGTGAACCTTCCCCTCCCGACCAGCAGGTGTGTCTCCTACATGCTACTAGGACACTTACATCAAATAGGCTGGTCAGTTTAATCAAATTCCAGAAAGGGTCCACAGCTTTGGGAAGCATGGCCACGGCACGACACATGAGGGCATGCAGAGCAACAGTTATATAAACCCCCCAGGACCTTCCACTGCCCCTCGTGGCTCCAGGCGAAGGGCCAAGGCTACTTGGTCCAGCTGACTTTGGGAATGTCGTAATGCTCTGTGAGTGTGTCCAGGTGTCTGTTGAAGTCCTGGCAGGGGGGAAGAAAGCCCACGTCAGCAGGATCACGCGTGCATGGGGCATGCACAGCCCCGCCCAGTCCCCCAGCGTCCTTTCTCCCCTTCTCTCACGCCCACCCCACCAGGTCCTGCACACGCCGAGCCCCAGGCTCTCCTTTGGACGTCCTGGACAGGTGTGGTTTCGCATGGATAGACACTCCTCCCAGCCTACTCAGCGGCCCCCCCTCTAGACTGCCGGCCTCCGGCACGGGGACCTACCTCCACCCTCTGCTTGTGAGTCTTGGAAGCTTTCGTCAGGATCCTCTCCATCTGCTGCAGGGAGAAGAGACGTAGAGATGAGTCATGTGCTCACGCAGCCCAGGCCAGAGGTGGGAACCCACCCAGCTCTCTCATATCCAGAGTGCTGCGCCCACCCCCACGCATGCAGGCTGCTGGACAGAGCAGGCCAGATGTCCTTTGGCTCCAGGCATGTGAGTGGCAGAAGTGAAGCGGCCTCAACTGAGCACAGACTATGGCTTGCTCTGCTGGGCCGCATGTATGCTCCTGCCCTGGAGCCAGCCGACAACAGCCACAGCGTGCAGGAACGCCTGTCCCAGCCAGGGCTTGAAGGGGGAGGAGGAGACGTGGGGGCAGCAGGGGGCCTGTTGCAGCGAGAGCTCACGGGACAGCACCCTCTAGACATCAGGGCACAAGACTCAGTCACTTTCTCCACAGTGCGTCTGGGTCCCGCCTCCGCACCACAACCTGCTGCAACCCTGGTTCCAGACACTCACAGTGCCCGGCGGGGTGGGCTGCTGTAAGAGGGATGGCCGGGCCATGCCAACTCTGCGCTTTCCAGCTGGGTGGCCATGGCGGACTCCTTGGTGCCCATGACTGGCTGCCCATGGTTCCCCCACAGCCCCCGCTGCACTGTCGAAGCTGGCCTGGACCCCACCAACAGATGCAGAGCTGGTTCTGGGCCAAAGCAGGAGCCCAGCAGCCTTTGCTCTGCGTCCTTGGAAGTTGGCACCATGCAGGAGAGAGGCCCTGGAGGACAGACGATACATGAAAAGAGGCCATGGAAGCAGCACTGAGGCTCTAAGCGTGGGATCCTGGTTGTTCCAGCCCAGCTCCACCAGACGCACCAGCCTTCCCTCCACATGCAGACTCCTCCATGTGAATTTCTCGCCAGCACTCATCTCCTTCTCTAAAGCCCAAGAGGCCTGCTGCACCCACAGGCCTCCTGCTCCAGTGAATGGCACCTTGCCGTCCAGGGGCTGCCCTTGACCCCTCCCCGCCCTTCCAGCTACACAAGTCCAGCAGCTGAGCTTGCCACTCGCCTGGAAACTCGGCCCTGGCCTGCCACCCTCCAGTGCGCCACCGTCACAGGCCTCCTCCGAGCCGCCCTTCCCAGTCACCGGTTGCAGTGTCTCTCACCCTGGCTGACTATGCCCTTGGGGCCACACGGGACAGCTGTGTACTCACCTGCAGAACCACAATGCCAGGGAGATTTCAGCCCTACTGTACATGCAACGGAACCCACTTGCCCAGCAGCACCACTAACGAGTGGTGAAGACCATGGAACCCGAGTCTGTCTTGCCAGAGCTAGCACACCACGTGTCTTCTGTATGTCTGCATTAGGCCAGCGAGTAATGACCTGCCTTCTCCAACGTCAGTGTGCAGAATCACCTAGACCAGGGTCAGGGCTTCTCTGCCTCACTGTTCTTTGCTGTGGGGTCTGTCCTGTGCACCGTGGGTTGTGCAGTGGCTTCCCTGGCCTCCATCCCCTCACCCAGCTGTCAGCCAAAAATGCCTGCACACTGCCACGTGTTGGAGGGGGAGTTGCCCCGGGGTAAGAACTGCTGACCTAGACTGATTATCCCTCTCTCCAGCATATGGGCCAAGCTTACCGATCTCATTCCTACCTCTTCTGTCCCCCATTGCCCAAATTTATTTTTTTATTATTTTTTTAAATAATTTTTTAAAATTTTAATCCTATTCAAAATAAGACTAATATGATCCCCCCCAAATTACAAAGAAATTCTATCAAAATGTTGACCAAAGAAGCCAGACCACTGCTCACTGTCACTGACTGCTCCAGGGGGCAGAGCACAAGTGCCATCTATGAGGAAGGGAGATGGGCAGAGTCCCAGCTCCCTAACTTGTGCACTGAGGGAGGCTAAAAGCCCTTCGGCCTCCCTGGGGTTTTGCGTCCTCACATACAGAATTGGGGAAGCAAGGTTAGATGGCTTTTAAGAAATTCTTCAACTAAAACAATTCAAATCATCTTGAGATCCCATCTTTGAGCAGACAGGGTGGCAGAAGAAATGGATTAAAAACCAGCTGGATAAAGTATTTCTCACCTTTTGATACCATCACTCAGAACTCAGTTCTACACTATAGTTTAAGGAAATCTTCACCCAGCCGTTAAAGAGTATGTGGTATGCAAGTGAGGCATCTGACAATGAAATGTTTGCTCAAGACATAAAAAGGCCATGCCAAGTTTGGGTGGAAAAACAGTGCACCTGCATGTTACTGCACCAGCAGTCAGGATTTTCTACCTCTGAAACTTAGGCGTCACCAGTCTAGTTGGGAAAAATGCTGAGAAAGACGCACATTCAAGCCACTCCACAGCGCTCCAACGGGTGCACACCTATTATTCTATTTGCTGAACGGATGAACAGGTGCTCGGGAGGCAACTTTAATGAAACTGGTTCTACTAAGAAAGGATGCGGAGAGTGAAATGATCCAAAAGGAGCAATGGCTTCTCATTTTCTGTCCCCTAAAGAGAATACAAATACCATTTCTTCTGGAAGCCACCACACTGGCTTCATTTTCAAAATGCATCACTTTATTTTCTTTGCAAGACAGTCACATATTAAGCACGTGACAGTCGCTTGGTTTCTTCGAGCTGCCCTGGGGCTTATGGCCAGAAGTCCTGAGGTTTCAAATATTAAAGCTTTCTCCACAGCCACAAGTTCCTTTGATGTTTGGGCTACTGAACACAAATTCACTGGATAATTTGTCTTCAACATAGTCCATTTCCGTTCCTAAAAGTGTTAGCTGTGCTTTCTTTCCGATGAACACTCTGACTCCATCTTGAACAACTTCTTCATCAGAATCTCCTTTGGTCTTTGTACATTCCAGAGCACAAGAAAGGCCATTACAGCCCCTGGTTCGGACACGACTTTGACACCTACGTGCTCAGGCTTATCTTTAAGAAGTTGTTTTGTTGTGTTCACTGCTGAAGGTGTCAGGGTGAGGGCGGCCCGGGGGGCTGCAGCTTCCTCTTGATCACAGCCCGGATGGTTGCCCGGATGAGGGAGGCCGACATGTTCACCGTGCCGGCGCCCCCGGGCCGGAGCTCGGAGACCTCAGCCTCTCTCCATGGACACGGCGGGCGCCGCCCAAATTTATTAAGTGGTTAATATAAAGATTTAGTGTTTTGGAGCCTTAAAATACAACATGTTTGGATCTGCCAAACGTGGTAAAGACTTCGAGCAGTGAGCACATTGACTACCAAATGCTCCTGAATTACTTCAGCCAGAGTTCTCAGCTCTCTTAGGAGAAAGCACCATCCTGACTCCTACAGAGGAGGAAACTGAGGCATGGAAAGAAAAGTCACTGGCCTAGTGTCTGAGGACTGAACTTGGACCTTTTTCTTCTCTTGCCAAATTCCTAACTAAGGGGGCTGGGGTGCCACTCCCTACAAAGCATAAAGTCTCCTCAGGAGGGTTTTTATTAGCCCTGCACAAGGTGGCAGCCTCTCCAACCTGACGGGCACAACATCACACAACACATAAAGAAATCCAGAAAAGCCCTGCAAAGCTGTCTATTGTGGGGAAATAGTTACATCGGCAGAGAACCTCCATTCACAGCCAGATCTTTCCCCTTCCAGGTCTTGCCCGTTCAGGAGGGATTATCTGAGAGTCTGACACCTTTAAAGTCAGGGGCTGCCTTGGAGGAGGCTTCATCTACAAATCAAGAATCTTGGCTTTCTCAAGTTCCCTTATCAACTTCCATTACTGACCTCAAATCTCCTTAGACAGAGGCTCACTCCCGCCACCCACTACCAATCAGAACATCTTTGAATCCACCTAAGACCTGCAAGCTCCCCGCAGATGTCCCACCTTCCGGGGCCAAAGTCAACCTCAATATTGATTTGCGTTTTGCCTGTAACTTCTGTCTCCCTAAAAATGTACAAAGCCAGCCGGGCTCGGTGGCTCAGCCTGTAATCCCGCGCCTTTGGGAGGCTGAGGTGAGTGGACTGCCTGAGCCCGCGGGTTCGAGACCCGCCTGGGCAGGCGAGACCTCATCTCTACAATAAATCAAAAAATTAGCCGGGCGTGGTAGCGCGTGCCTGTAATTCTGGCTACTCGGAAGGCTGAGGCGGAAGGATCGCCGGAGCCCAGTGGGTCGAGGCAGCAGTGACCGGGAGCGGCCACTACACTCCAGTCTGGGCGACAGAGTGAGACTCCGACTCAAAAAAAAAAATGTACAAAGCCAAGCTGCAATTCAACCACATAGGGCACATCTTCTCAGGCCCTGGACACTCAAACGTAGCTCAGAATAAACCTTTTGAATACAGAGTCTGTCATATTTCCGCTAACACGTTGTAGGGCGGATGGATGAGCCCCATCCTCAGCTCTGGTCTCCCCTTCTGGGATTCTATCCGGGGCTCCAGTTCTGGCCTCGTTTTCTGGGATTCCTCCCAATCCGGGCTCCAGCTCCGGCCTCCTTTCCTGGGATCCCGCCCTGGCTGCAGTTCTGGCCTCCCTTTCTGGGATTCCTCCCCAGTCCGGGCTCCAGCTCCGGCCTCCTTTCCTGGGATCCCGCCCTGGCTGCAGTTCTGGCCTCCCTTTCTGGGATTCCTCCCCAGTCCGGGCTCCAGCTCCGGCCTCCTTCCCGCGGGCCTGCGGGTCTTGGTCCTCGGAGCCTGGGCCGGGCTCCTCCCCTCCCGCCCCCTCAGCCCCTTCCCCGAAACAGGTTCCCCGGCCGGTCGCCCCGCCCGGGCCTCACCCGCTTCTCCTGCATCTTCTCGAAGGCCGCCTGGGCCGGCGTCCGCTTGTCCAGGCCGCGCCGCTTCTCCTCCTCGTTCTTCTTGCTGGTCCCCATCGCCTCCAGCAGCTTCGCCTTGTCTTTGTCCTTTTTCTTCTTCCTGAAGGAGGGACGAGGAGGGGCGCGTGAACGCGGGACAGAGGGCCAGGGCCCTGGGGAAGGCCCCAAGGGACAAGGCAGAGCTCCGCGGGCCCCCGGCCTCACCGTTTGGCTACGCTCAGTTCTGCGACGCCCTTTAGCTTCAGGGCTCCCTTCTGGACCTGCTCGTAGGCCTCCATGGCGCCCGACTGTCGTCCGGTACGTATCTGCCACACTTCCTGTTGGCGAACGCCATTTCCGCCCCAGCTCCCGCCTTACTCCTTCTTTATTGGCCCAGATGTGGGCTACGCATGCGCCTTAGGCATCCGCACCTGGGCGGCACTTCTGGGTTGAAGAGCGAGGCGAATCTGCGGGCTTCGTAGCAAGGCTTCTGCCACACTTCCTGTTTTGATGCCTACTTCCGGTTCCTTTCCCTTCGGGCCGGCGTCGAAAGCCCAACCTCTTTTTTTCTTTCTTTTTTTTTGAGTTGAAGTCTCACTCTGTCACCCAGACTGCAGTGCAGCAGCCGCTCCCGGCCACCGCAGCCTCGACCCGCTGGGCTCCGGCGATCCTTCCGCCTCAGCCTTCCGAGTAGCTGGAACTACAGGCGCGCGCTACCACGCCCGGCTCATTTTTGATTGATTGTGGAGACGAGGTCTCGCCAAGTTGTCCGGGTGGGTCTCGAACTCTCAGGCCCAGGCGATCCACTCGCCTCGGTCTCCCGAAGTGCTGGGATTACAGGCTGAGCCACCGAGCCCGGCCGAAAACCCAGCCTCTATAGAGTGTTGTGTGAGCCTTTGGGTCCCTTTGTTGCCCTGTTTTGGGCTTTTAATGAATAACTAGCCCTAATTTTGTAAAATGAGCCAGAACTTACTGGTTTTTCAGCTTTAATTAAATGACAACGTTCTGTTACATAGGTCGGTGTTTTGTTAAAAAAGTTAAAACATTTTGTTGAAAGCCGGCTCGGTGGCTCAGCCTGTCATCCCACGCCTTTGGGAGGCTGAGGTGAGTGAATTGCCTGAGCCCGAGGGTTCGAGACTCGCCTGGGCAGCGAGACCTCGTCGCTACAATAAATCAAAAAATCAGCCGGGCATGGTAGCGCGTGCCTGTAATTCCGGCTACCTGAAAGGCTGAGGCGGAAGGATCGCCGGAGCCCAGCAGGTCGAGGCTGCGGTGGCTGGAAGCGGCCACTGCACTCCAGTCTGGGCGACAGAGTGAGACTTCAACTCAAAAAAAACACAAAAAACATTTTATTGAGACATAATTTATATATAGTGAAATGCACCATTTCCTTTTTTTGTTAATTTATTTGACAAATACAAATCTTATATTGTACACCATAACATTTTGAAATATGCATGCACTGTGGGATGGCTAACGTACTTATTTTTTATGGTGAGAACACTTAACATCTACTCTTAGCAATGTTCAAGAGTATAATGCATTGTTGTTAGGTCAAAGGACTCCATGGGACCTCCAAGAATGTTAGGTTAAAAAATATCTCCCAGCTGGGCACGGTGGCTCACATCTGTCATCCCAGCACTTTGGGAGGCCAAGGCGAGAGTATTGCCTGAGCCCAGGGATTGGAGACCAGCCTGGGCCACTTGGTGAGACCTCGTCTCTACAATTAATCAAAAAATTAGCCGGGCATGGTAGTGCACGCCTGTAGTTCCAGCTACTTGGAAGGCTGAGACGGAGGATCGCCTGAGCCCAGCAGGCCGAGGCTGCGGCGGCTGTGAGCAGGCCCCTGCACTCCAGCCTGCCGACAGTGAGACGCCGACTAAAAAAAAATTAAAAATGAAAATTAATTTAAAAAGTCCCCTTTGATGGCAGGTCATTACGGTGGTTGGGTGGAGGTCTGTTCCACATCATCACAGAGGGACAGGTACATGCAGGTACTGACGTCAGGTGATGGACGACAGGCAGATGGGTGGGCCAGTTGCATGACTGCTGTCACGGTGGTGGGTTCTGTGTGTGTCATGAAGGGCTGATTAAGGTTAACCTATTTACAAAACAAGCTGGGGAGGGAGTTGTAAAGCATTTATCAATCAATAGCTACCTCTGAGAAGTCGGTCCTGTCCTTGGCTAGTAGATTAGCAGGTAAATTAAAGTGAGCTGCTAGAAAACTATGACAAAGTTAGACAATGTTAAAATGGCTGCTCATTGGCTATACTGACTCCATGTTATGTCCTTCCCCTTGTTATTAACTGAAAGGACAGACCGAGAGCGGGAAGCCATTTTTCATCTTGTTCTTAAACCCTGACACAAAGATGAGAAAGTAGAAGCTATGCTTTTGGAGAAATGCACACTTTAAATAAAATTAACTTTGTCCACTTTGTCTTTTCAGAAATTGACTTCCTGGTGCCAGGTATCAGAGGTATCTCATAGTGGCAATCAAGCTTGCCTAAAGTAAAGGGGATTTACAAGGCCTAAGACATCATGCATTGGGCAAGGACTGTAAAAATCATGAAACTTGTAATTACAAAAGTTATGATCGCTCAGAGGGGGAGCAGGTGGGGATTTGATCTTCCAGTAAATTGGGCCCTATCTACAGGGAAGCCAAGGATCCCCTGAAGCGACCCACCGGGAATGCCTAGGAGATAAGGGGAGGTGCACCCTCCATTAGGTCTAAGGAATGTCATTTGGGAAGGTGCAGGAGACTTAGAATTCTTGTCACGCCCTTCTCTAGGGGCTATGATAACATGGGCGAACATTAATGGGTCTCTGTGTCACAGGGTCTCCTAGACATCCACAGACGGTCGACAAGGAAGTCACAGCAGTCACGGCAGTCACGTGCTACATCTCCAAGAAAAGGATTTAAGCTGGCTCAGTGGCTCAGCCTGTAATCCTGGGCCTTTGGGAGGCTGAGGTGAGTGGTTTGCCTGAGCCCCTGGGTTTGAGACCCACCTGGGCAACTTGGCGAGACCTCATCTCTACAATAAATAAAAAATGAAGCCAGGCTCAGTGGCTCAGCCTGTAATCCTGTGCCTTTGGGAGGCTGAGGTGAGTGGATTGCCTGAGTCCGCAGATTCAAGACCCACCTGGGCAGCGAGACCTCATCTCTACAATAAATCAAAAAAAAAATCAGCTGGGCATGGTAGCACATGCCTGTAATTCCGGCTACTCGGAAGGCTGAGGCGGAAGGATTGCTGGAGCCCAGCAGGCGAGGCTGCGGTGGCTGGAAGCGACCACTGCACTCCAGTCTGGGCAACCGAGTGAGACTCCAATTCAAAAAAAATAATAATAATATAAATAATTAAATAAATAAATAATGAGCGCGCGCCTGTAGTTCCAGCTACTCGGAAGGCTGAGGCGGAAGGATCGCCGGAGCCCAGCAGGTCGAGGCTGCAATGACCGGGAGCGGCCACTGCACTCCAGTCTGGGCGACAGAGTGAGACTCCAACTCAAAAAAAAAAAGAAAAGAATTTAAGCCAGGACTCTGGGGGCTATGATGCCACACTCACCTAGCGTGTGGGCCCACTCCCTGTCTGTGGGGGGTGAACTTTTCTTAAATAAATCTTTTCTTCTCTCACTTCTGTGTGTTGCAATTCTTTGCAATTTACTTGGCTCTCTGGGTTCCGACTTGCCGGCTCTGGCGGTGCTGCGCCTCTCCCCTGCACCTCTCACCTCTCCATACTCCCTCACCTTGTCCGTACCCTCACATTAGCTATAGTCTCTATGTTGCATGATAGGTCTCTTGAACTTCCTTCTGTCTTCTGTCTAACTGAAATTGTGTGTCCTTTGACCAGCATCTCCCCAACCCCCTGCCCACCCCAGCCCCTGGTAACCACGATTCTATTCCCTATGGGTTCGACTTTTTTAGATTCTTGGAAGTGGAATCATGTGGTATGTGCGATTCTAAAATGCACCCATTTTAGTTGTACCCTCTGATAAGTCTTGTCACACTTGCACAGCTGTGTAACCACCTCACTTTCAAGATATGGACCATCCCCACACCCCCCAAGGCTCCCTTGTTCCCCTTCCCAGATAATCCCTCCAGCCCTGTCCCCAGACAACTCCTGATCTACTCTTTGTCACTGTGGATTAGATTTATCTTTTAAAAGCTTCATATAGGTGGAATCACACCATATGTGTTATTTTGAGCTTGGATTCTGTCAACCTTAGATAATGAGATTTAGAAAATATGATTAAGGCCAGGTGTGGTGGCTCATGCCTGTAATCCCAGCACTTTGGGAGGCCGAGACAGGGGTGGGGGGAGTATCACTTGAACCCAGGAGTTCCAGATCGGCCTGGGCAACATAGTGAGACCTTGTCTCTACAAAAAAAACTTTAAAAATTAGCTGGGCATGGTGGCACATGCCTGTAGTCCCAGCTCCTCGGAAGGCTGAGGCAGGAGGATGACCTGAGCCTAGGAGGTCAAGGCTGCTGTGAGCCATGATCCTGTCACTGCACTCCAGTCTGGGTGACAGAGTGAGACCCTGACTCAAAAAACGCATACACATTTTATTTTACTTTATTTATTTATTTTGAGTTGGAGCTTCACTCTGTCTCCCAGGCTGGAGTGCAGTGACACGTTCAAGGCCACTGCAGTCTTGACCTCCTGGGCTTGGGCGACCCTACTGCCTCAGCCTTCTAAATAGCTGGAATCACAGGCAAGCGCCACCATACCCGGCTCATTTTTTGATTTAGTGTAGAGATGAGGTCTCACCAGGTTGCCCAGGCTGGTCTAAAACCCCTGGACTCAGGCAGTTGTCTCGCCTTTGCCTCCCAAAGTGCTGGGATGACAGGGGTGTATAAATATGTTTACTGTGTACATTGGAGCCTTAGAATGAAGATCCCACTGCACCCGGCAAAAAATGTATATGCATTTTTTTTTTGGTTTTGAGTTGGAGTCTCACTCTGTCACCCAGACTGGAGTGCAGTGGCCGCTCCTGGCCACCGCAGCCTCGGACTGCTGGGCTCTGGCGATCCTTCCGCCTCAGCCTTCCAAGTAGCCAGAATTATAGGCGCATGCTACCACGCCCGATTGATTTTTTGATTTATTGTAGAGCTGAGGTCTCGCTGCCAGGCGGGTCTCGAACCCGCGGGCTCAGGCCATCCACTCACCTCAGCCTCCCAAAGGCGCGGGATGACAGGCTGAGCCACCAAGCCTGGCTTGTATATGCATTTTAAGAGATGTTATCTGTGCATTACTTTTCAAAGTTGAATTAAATTACAGTAGCAACGTGTAGTGTGATGTTCGCTTAACTGTGCTTCCACCATTTTCTTTTTTCT